ATTCTTAATATATTATATTCATCTAGTTTAAACAAATTGAGTCCAAGAAAAACCTTTTACAAATACATATATGTATACACAAAACATATACATCTTGGGGCAACCAAACATTGAAGGCAGCCCTCGCTTAGTCATGCAGTTTAGTGTCAGACAAGAAGATGGCTCAGAAGCAACAGCAGCGACAGTAAGAGGCAGACAATGTGCGATGCAGTGGAAGCAGTAAAAAACCGCAGCACACACAAGCTTTCATTCAAAAGGTAGCGAACAGAGAGACGGAGAGAGAGATAGACAGAAAGAGAGAGAGCAGAATAAAGTGTGGAACCTTTTAGGAATGCTGTTGCACCTTGTTGCAGACACAGCTCAGGCAGCAGCTTGTTTATGGCTGTGCAGCGCACATTGCAAATTTATAAAACAACAGAAAGGGAGAGAAGGAGAGAGGAGTACACAGAGAGCGAGAGAGTAAGAGAGAGTTGCCCTTGGGAGAGAAAATGTGCAATGCTTTTAGCTTTAAGTCGGGAGAGTTCCCTTGGTATAGCCACAACTCACATAGTTTATTTTGAAACTGAATTGGATTGGAATTTCGTTTTCCCATTTGCCTTTTGCCTTTTGCTTCCTTTTTGTCTGTCTGACTCAAACTCTTTCGCTTGCAACTCGTGAACTATTTGTTGATACTCGTCTCTGTCTTCTTGCATTATTGAGAGTCTATAAAAGCTTGAGCTGTAATGCATTGAAATGTACTACATACATACATACCTACGTGGCACGTGCACGTGTTCGAAAGAAACCTTAAATTTGATACAATTTGAATCCATTCAGTATAGACAAATGCATAATCCAAAGGCTATTGGGCACCTCCCTTCCATTCTGCACCAAATTGAATCAAATGTAAGAGCTTTGACCTTGCGCTTTGATTATGCAGAGCATTCAATCTCAGATTAAGAGTGAACTATGATTCAACGCTGAACTTATGCAAAAATCGGAAGAGAAAACAAATCAGAATGTTCCAGTCGGGCATCAGGGTAAGCTCTTCAATTTTTTAGCTCTAGCTGTATAGATAGAGATTATCCGATTTACCTTGTGTCCTATTTGGTTTTCTCCTTTACTTTCAGACATATGGTTTATATAAAGAAAGCAATGCTCTTGCTCTCTAACCAAGTGTAGAGGCAAAACCCACTTTCTATTGTCAGTTTCTGCTTATTCAGAATCGTGGGAATTGCTCCAACTAATCATCACATATATTTGTCGTTTAATTGTCGCTTTTAGTCTTTAAGCTGGCCTCAGCTGTGACTTGACTCTTTTCAGAGTTGCTTTGTCTATCTTTGAGTTTAATACGCGCGTTAAATAAGTATGAAATGAGTTGTCACTTGAAAGAACCAACTACATATAGAGGCGAGCCGAAGCAGAAGTCAGCCGATCTCAGCAAATGCTAGCAGATCAAATGCAGAACTATGACGATCTTATTTTGTTTTCAAATATGTGTATAAAATATTTTAAAAGATCATTTCAGGGAACACAGGATTTTACAGGTGTTGTGACAGGTAACAGTGGACTCGAAACGTCTACGTATTTGTCAGTAAATAGGTGCGAATGAACATGTGGAGCAAAAAGCAAGCTAACAATTCAGGTAGCTAGAATGAACGTAAGAGATGAAGAAGGGAACACTTGAACGAGTTGTTGACCAATGAATACTCTGCAAGATGATCAGAGTCTTATCATAAATAAATAAATATAATATATACATATCTATGTTTAACGTTTCTGCTAAGACGAGAACAGCTTACAAACATTTTTACTCCTCATATATTACAAAGTTCTCGAACAATAAATACCCTGTTAAGGGACGAGTTTTTAAGTTTTATTTGATTGATCTATAATATTCATTAAAATAAGAGCAAAATACAATGCAATCAATATTCATTGCATATGACACAAATTGTGTATAGAAACTAATAGACTCATTGCAAGGGTATGTAAACAAACAAAAGAGAGTAAATGAAAACGAAATCTGTGCACAGCAGCGAAATAGAAGAATAAAAAGAAATATACGTAAAAGGCATAAAGAAGAGAACAAAAAATCTCAGAGCAATCCACCTGTCATGGCGAATATGCCGCATGCTTGCTATCTCTTTCGCTCTCACTCGCTCAGCTGCATTTACGCGCTAAGCGGCCAGCTGCGGACATTTGATCGTGGTAGAAAATAGAGAAGAGGAAAAATGGACAAGCTACTTAAAAAAAAAATTTTAAAATAAAATATATATATACATATATATTTTCGTTACACATTTAGCAATTAGAATATTATACAGCCGCGCTCAACTTTTCTCATACTGCGCTTCAAGCAGCCAGTTTCTTATAAGAGTTATGTATAAGAGCATAAGGAAAACTGTGCCGATTCGTCTATTTTTAGAAACTCATTACAAAAATAACAAAAAAATTAGTAAGTAAAATTATAGTCATTGTGATTAATGAACAAAGCTGAGCTATTAAGTCTATGATATATGCACACACATACATGCACACATGTATTTTCTAAGCGATTATGAGGCGCTTTAAGGCTGTAAATTATAGTTCAATTCCAATTAGACAGACTCAGACGTGTCTCGTGCTCCGTTGAAGGTTTGCCTTTGGGTCAAGTTCATTGCAGCAACGTAAGGAATTTAAAGAAACAACAACAACAACAACAAAAATATTGATTCAACGGAAGATTTCGTAAAACTTAAAGCTCTAATGGCCAAATGCTGTTTTACTAGTTGCGAGCCTCTTCTAACGGTTGTTGCTTGCGCAGAAATAAATGCCGCAAATGGCCTTCAAAGCACAAAGTCCGCACTCAAAGTCACACAGCTTCGCGCGTGTGTGTGTGTGTGTTTCTGCACACATACACACATATTTATGCAAGTACACTCGCTAAAGATGCGTATGCGTACACCCACACACACACACACACCAAGTCACACACATACATACATATCAGCTGAGCGCTGGCCCAACAAAAAACCACCCCCAAACCGACTGGCGCCCCCATAAAGCAGCTTGACAGAAATTTCGACACATAGAGCCAGCCTTGGAGCAGCATCCATAGGAATTTTCAAATTTCAACCCCATTGATTAAGAGAAACTGTGTCAGAAATGCGCCAATTACAATTAACGGTGCTCGTACACTCACCTCGTTTGCCTTTTTCTTTCACAGAATTTTGAATGTGAGCTTGGACGTTAAATCGAATGGCAACTGTGTGTTCGATGCTGCTGCTATGCTCCTCTGCAACGGCGACGTCGACGTCGACGTCAACTTTAACAGCAGTAACAACAGTTAGACGGATTAATGAAGCGCGCTCTCTGCTCTCTTATACACACACAGGCACAAACACGCAGACGTTTTGATTCACTTTTATTTGATTTGATTTTTATCTTTTATCTTTTATCTTTTATCTTTATTCAGCAGCGGCGTCAGCGTCAGCGTCGCCACTGACAATGACATTTTCATACAAACACACGCGACGCTGGTCAGCGAAATTTCTTGTTGATGTTGCAGTCACAGCTGGAGAGGGGCGGAGGGGTGGCCCGGCGAGCGGCGGGTGGGGGCTGCAAGTTCTCCAAGGCAGCCTGGCAGGTGCACTTACAAGAGCTCACACACACAGAAACAGGCGCATACAGCTACCACAGCGACCACTATCAAACACTCTGACACGCACACAAACACGCGACACGAAGCGCAGACATGAGAGACAAACAAACGATGCGGACGCTGGCACCTGGCACTATGCTTTCATACTCTTTTTCTTTCTTTGTAAATTTCTTATTTTATTTATTTTGCTTTTTATTTTGCACGCGGCGGCGGCGACATTGATGGCTGCTGGTTGTTGCAGCACATTTGACTTGAGACTTGAATTTATTTTGATATTATTTCTATCTAATCGCGGGGTCGTGTTTGCCGTCCACGCTTAGATAATGCTTAATGGCCTCTTATCTAGCGCTTTGTCGCCTTTGCATACACTTTTTCTCGTAATTAATAATTTCCTTAAAACAGCCGCGCTCCGACGTGCTGATTCTTCGGCGTCGAAACAACAACAACTACGAACAACAAASCAAATATGGCCCTAGCAGTTATATCTTAAAAATACCACAAATAACAACTTCATACACTTCGTATTCTGGTATTTTTTTAGGAAATTATTGATGCTGGTATATTTTGGAATGAGACAATACAAGCTTCTATTAAATGACTTAAATCGAAGATTCAAGTATGAATTTTAACAGAATATTTTGTTATATTAATTGGTATAGTTATTTTTCTATATTTATTTAAAAACTAAAATCAGCTGCCATGTAAACTTTCAACGCTATAAGCACTGACTATGTTTCCACAATCGGGCGCTAGAGGGCTGATAAATGATAAAATAATCAAAAGCTAAGCGATATGGCTACTTTTGAAAACCACTTTAGGTAAGAACCATGTATTTGAGCAATAGATGGCGCTTAACAACAATTATGTTGGCTAAAATTAGTTTGGCTTTTTTGCGTCGTTGTTAACGCCCGCTGCTCACTTTCGCTATACTGTTAAGTTGACTGTTAATCCCATGGCGCGAAATTTAAAATATTGGCAAATTTAAGTACATAGTTCTTTTTTGTAATTAAATTAAAATTTATTGCACTTATGAATTTAAAAAAAATTAGAGGAGTTCAACACTTAAGACAAATATTTATAAATATCTAAGATATGCTTCAAATATTGGAAGAAACACAATCATTTCAAAATATTTATTTTATAAAACACGACAGATTTGAAATCTCAAGTGGAAAAGAAGCTCGTAATACTTTAAGCTGTTATCATATATAAATTAATTTTACCCTCTTCTTACCATAGACCTAGGAATACATTTACACAAGTCAAGAGCTCTTTAAGCCCAAAAGCAAAGTCTATCTGCTTCATATCGCTGTATAAAGTTTTTGCGTAATATTTCTGAAATGGATATTCATCCTCTCTTTGCCTGTCTCTCCTCGCTCGATCACGCTCTCTGTTACTCTTTTGCAGCATCTTCTCGCTCGTCCAGTGCCGTTTTATCTGTGAATGATAAGGAAAATCACGGTGATAAGAACGCGTCTCAACTCAAATTTGCTTACGTATGAGATGTTTTACAATGCGCTTGCTTAACGCTCACAAATCATATTTTATATACTACATAGATACTATTATTATTATTATATGTATTATAGAGCTCGCTAAAAATACATCGTGTAATCAAAGTTGGTTGCCTTCAGGCTTTTGTAAATTATGATAAATCTTTATACTTTTAATTATTCAAAATATATATAAAATGAATAATTTATATGATAATTTATAAAAATGTTTCCTTTTCATTAACTATTTTAATTATTTATAAATATTCAATTTTTGAAACTCATTTTATTTGCTACAATTTAAACTTAACAATCTTATCTTTAATGTTATAACTGCTTTTTTTTTCGTCGGTCACAAACACCTCAAGTGTTATATGTGACCCATAAAGCGCTTTGGGCTCGCCTATGATCTAAAAGGGCGCAGTTTATTACAGTTTTGTATTCACTTCAGAAAAAAAATTCTTTAATGCTTTTAAAATTATTTATTTACATAAAATTTGACATATTTTCAATTGTGACTTCGAGAGATATTCATGTGTAAATAAATAATTTCAGAAATAAACGAAAGCTTGATAAACTCATTGAACACACCTCGTACAAGCACGATTACAACAAAAATCTATTACCAAAATATTTTGTTGAGAAACTCCCGAATGTCTTCTCTGAACTTCCCTTTACTTTCCCACTTACAGCGAGCTCTTCCTCTTCCATTGACTTTACCAAGCCAAAGCCCTAAAAACTTTGTGCTGTAATAGGGAAGCGAGCACATGTTTTTACCGTTACCAGGCGCCGTTTGCCGATCATCAGACTGATAAACACCTGTTGGCAATATCAATCAAGGCGATTTGGAATTTATCAATTAATTGTAAAGTTTTGTTGTTGGTCCGTTCCATGTGATTTGCATCGAAGTTCGTCGAATAGTTTCATCGTCTCGTAGTTGTGTTCGCAATTTCATTTAGCTCGGCCGGAAAACACGTTGCGCGTTTTTCATTTATTGTGAATAGTTTTTCCTAACGAAATGCCTAAAACTTTTACCGCTCAGCGTCAATTTTCGTGTGCAAAACTTTTCGGCAATCGAGCGCCCGGTCAAAAGGAGCCATCGGAATCCTTGCTAGCCTGTGAAATGGCCTACGAATACGGCTGATGAAGCGCTGAAAGAGTAGAAAGAAACATATAAGTAATTAGTTTAAAGTGATAGAAGTTGAAGTAAACGAATAAATAACATTTAATAAGTAAAATGCACAAATCCATTAATAATATAAATTAATACAATATAAA